AATAGCTTCTATACAAGCTAGCTCATTAAATAGCATAATTATTAAATAAGTCTACCAAGATTTTTGTCCTAATTTTTCCTTAGTCAAGAACGGATTTTGTGTAAGCTAGCTCAACAAATAGCATATTAATTATGAAACTTTAAAAAAAATATAAAAGTCCAATGAAAATTTAGCTAATGCTCAATAAATATTGCATCTAAAATTCTGGCTAAAATTAAGATATAATACTAGCCGAAACAATTTTTCTATTATCTTCTCATATTTTTGATCGAAGCCTATCATAATACTGAATAACATAATAATCTCTAATATCTAACAGGCATCGTCTACAAGTTGAAGAAGTTGGCTTCCTGCAATCAGAGCATGGAACCCATTTTTTGATTTCTAATGAAATCAGCAACCTTCAGGGCGAATGCAAGCTCTCCCACAAGCCTTTCTGGTATTGCAGAGATATGGGCAGGAATATTCACTGATCATCCTATTTTTTATCACTAAATTTCGAAAGATTAATTAATAATAGTTAATACTTTAGTTTTGGGAAGGATAGCTAGAACCATTTTGGCAAGCCTAAAAATACCACCTTCAGTGGAAACTCTATAATCGGAAAGTGAAAAGAATAGGAAATAATTAATTAAAGAAAAAAATTTATAAACAAGTAAAAGCGTGACGGTTAGAGCTAACACTATAGTTAAAAAAACAAGAAGTGATAAAAAAGTTAGAATCTGTAAACATTGTGGTCATGAATGCTCAACACCTCAAAAACTTCGTGAGCATCTTAAGCGAAAAAATCTATGCAAACCATTACAAGAAGCTAACTAACAAACTATTGAAGAGGATATTCAAAAATCTGTTCAAATGGCAATCCAAAAACCTATTCAAAAGAATAGAGACTATATTAGCCAGGAGGAGGCAGACAAATGGGTTAACCCAAATGCCTGAAAACCTGGTAAACATTTTAGAATATGGGGAACATGACTACAAAAACGATAGAAAGAACTTGGTCTAGGTGAATGTCTTAAAACAAAAGACTTGGATGACTATATGACTCTCTGTCATGATCTTGAACAATACAATCTAGAAGTAGTTAAACTACCAACAAAAGAGGAATTAAAAGAAGAATATGAAAAAAGAAAATTAGAAGAGATTAAGAAGAGGCAAGAAAGACCGGAAAAAGATCTAGAGTTTAGAGAGCAAGAAGAGTTGGGAATGGTAGTTAAAAGAAGAGCTATAGCTGTATATTGTGCAAAAGTTCCTAAATCTCATCCAGATAATAGAAGCGATATACAAAAAATGTTAGAAAGCTGAAGAAAGCAGTTTAGAGAAATACTTGAAAAGGAATTCGATAAGTGTAAACAATTTAAGTTTGCTCTATGTTCTCTTACCAAATTTCTTATAGATGATAAACCTGAAAATGAAAAACAGAGAAAAAAGAATTCACGAACTGACTGGCTTAGAAATATGCAAATTATAGTTTATAATAAAAATGAAATAGATGATTACTTAAGCAGTGCTTTCGAACAGATCCTATACCAAGTAGAGGAGAGAGGAGGTAAGACTAATTCTTGAGAATATATTTGGGTGGAAATACTGTATCTGGCAGGACAATTTGCAGTTCTTCTCTTACAAATGAGCATCTAGGACCCTTGTAAAACTTGTAGAGAATAGGCTGATTTTTTTTATCAAATAAGAATCAATTGAAAAAACTTCAGGAGACCAATTGCAATCAGTTGCCCTTTTTATTCCACCTTCTAATTCACCAGGTTCTAATAAATGTCGAACTTCAGTATAGCTAGGCAAAAGAGATTCATTATAACCAATTGGTCTCCTATTCTTTACTGAAGGTCTAGCTATTATTTTTTTTTCTTTTAATACTTGTTTTACAGCTTCATTAGGAGATATATCTATCAATCGGGTAGGAGTATTATTAAAAATATCATCATTTATACGAAGACCACTCTAGATCTATCAGTCAAAGGTAAATGAAAATCTTTAGCATCTTGCTGAAAATAAGCATGCTTTTCAAATTCTTGATGGTCACATTCAGCAATAGCTACACCACGTTTAGAGTTAGCATACTGAATTTTTACACCATAACTAAATAATAAATCTCTACACT